CACCCCAGCCTATAAATCAGGCCGGGACACCTTTGAAAACGGACGTTCCCGAGATGCAGCGAGGCCTTCCGGGCCTTTCACTCCCTTTCTCTCCGGGACTCACTCACCAGCTTAGAAAGAGCAGGACTTCAGAGCAGGACTTAGAAAGTGGGGACGCGGTGTTCCTTGGCCAGTGGGCAGGGCGGCTGTCACGAGAGGGTCTGTTCTGTTCACACCGGTCCTCGAACTCTAGGCAGCACGTGTGTGGGGGCCTCTTCCAGTGCTGTGGGCAGGGACCAGGATGTGTGTGTGTGTGTGTGCGTGCATGCATGTATGTGTGCAAATGTATGTATACTGTGTGAGTGTGAGTGTATGTATGTGTGTATTGTGTATGTGTGTATATGTGCATATATGAGAGTGTGTGTGTGTGTGTGTGTGTGTGTGTGTGAAATTATCCTTCAAATTTTATTTTTGGGGGCCAGCCCCATCGCCTTGTACTAAGGGAGCTGGATCTTACATGGCCCACCGTGGTTCGCATCCCCGCCCCGACAGCGTGAAAACATGCTGGGCGTGTGTGCGGATGACCGGCCCCAGTGCACAGGCCACGTCAACGCGTCCAGGCCTCGAACCCCGGCATCCCGCTGTGTGGGCTACTGAGCGCCACCTCAGCAGTGTGGGCTGCAGCTGGGATGTCCTTGGCGGAAGGACCGCCACACAGGAGCCTGTAGACAGGAGGCCAAGAACACGTGTCCTCGAAGAGCCCCGAATAACAGCTCTGTACCGTGTGGGCACCTGCCCTGGTGCCTGCAAGCTAGCGGGGTACTTCCTAGCAGACATTTATTTCCTTCTGTGTGCAGACCGGGGACTTCCTGCTTCCTTATTTGAAGTCTACTTATCTCTGCGATGAATGAGAGACACAGAGACAGAGAGACTGCACCCCACAGGGTCCTGACGCCACGACCTGCCCAGCCTCGGCACGCCCCAGGCCATGGGCACACGGCCGGGACTCATGGACATGAACTGGGAAGTCCCGCTGTGGCTTGGCCTACGAGGACCTGTCGTTGACAGAGCATGTGGGTTTTGCCATAGGGTGTGTGGAGAGGGGCAGGGAGCGGGAAAGTGAGAATCACGCCCAGGCGCATGGCCAGGCCATGACCCTTCCTCCTTCCGGACTTGGGCACGCACACATGCACCCCTTGTGATTTTTAAACCACTGGGTCTGCCGGGTCCAGGACTTGGACTTCGGTCAGCCGTGTGAGTCCAGCGCCTTAACCACCACACCACCAGTGACATGAGTGTGAAAAATAATCTCCTCTTTGTGTGTGATAAACTCTCACTTCATCTTCCATTTCTCTGGTGACTCACTGAATCCAGCCTGCTCCCCAGTGTTTCCCGACCTTGTTCAGGCTGCTCCTCTGGAATGCACTTGTTCCTTCCCACCTGTGTCTTTTGTTTTAAATTCTGAATGCTAATGTTCTGACGGTCTCCTAGCCTACCAAGACGTGCTCCCGGTGGGTTTTAATCCTGTTAGCGAGCCTTTTATATTTAAGAAAGACTTGTAGGCAGCTCTGTCTGCTGATTGAGCTGCTCTAACTTGATCTGCAACCTCTTCAAAGGGTTTGCACCTGTATTTTGTTCTAGTTTTCATGGGCTAATTATTTTATTTTACTTATTCATTTATTTCTTGAGAGAGATTTTTGCTACAGGGTGCATGTGCTTGACGGAGAGACAGAGAACGAGAAACCACTCCCTAAGGGGGATGGCCAGGCCAAAAGCCCTTCTCCCTTCTCCTCTCAGGGTTTGGGGCAAACATACCCGCATGCGCCCGGCGTGAGTTTCCAGTTGCCAGGCGGGGGACTTACAGCACAGCTGGTCATGTGGGAGACAGGTGGCATAACTGGTACGACCCCACTGGCCCCTAATTATTTATAGTAAATGTTTAATTCACCTGACGCTCAATGCCGTGTTGAGGAAAATGAAAAATGGACACGCAAGAGAACGTGGCATTCTTCCTGCCCCGTAGTGCGTCCTTGAAGCGCTTTGCCACCGGATAGAAGAGCCTCCCGGCCACGCCCGCAGTGACCGGTCGTGTCTTCCTCGGTGATGTCCCGGTGCCCTGGCTTTGTGGGCAGCCGCCCCCTTGTTGTACCACCCCCAGCTCAGCGTCGGGGTCTTCGGCCGGCGAAGCGGTTCCCGGCTGGACCCTAACATCCTGGCCCCTTCTCTCTGCAGCCGCTCCCCGAGCCCACCGGCCCCTCCGCCCTGCCCCCGTCGGCCCTGCCGCTGGACCTGCTGAGTCAGGCTGTCAGCGCCTTCGGCACCTTGGAAGACCTCATCCGGTACCTGGAGCCCGACAGGTGGCAGCTGGACCTGGAGGACCTGTACCGGCCCACGTGGCAGCTGCTCGGCAAGGCCTTCGTGTTCGGAAGGAAGTCCCGAGGTAAGTGTCCGCAGGCCGGGGTCCCGCTCTTCGCTCAGGGCTGCCTTCAGGCTGCCGGAGCAGCTCGCCTTCCACGCTCTGGGCAGCTCGGCCTGAGTTTGTGTGATGAGGACGTATTGGAGGCGCTCTTGGTGGCTATGGCAGAGTAGAAGGGGGCCTCAGGGGTCCATTTCAGAAGGACCCTTGCTTCCTCACGCCTACTGTTTGGAGATACCTGATTTTGAGACTCAAGATAAATTATAGCTTAGAGCCAAGTTTTGGGCTAGAAATGTGGGATGTTCAATTAAAAAGAAAAGGCATTGTCCACCATGTCCCCCGTGGGTCTAGGTTATTATCAGTTTCCATTTCCTAAGCCTGGAAACTTAGAATAGCAATTTCTAAGATAAGATTCAAAGGAAGATTTTCAGTTTGAAGTGATTGCTTCTGACCATACGGGCCTGTTTCCCTTCGAGAGGGACAGTGTGGAAACTGGACCTAATTCCCCATGACCAAGAAAGGGACACATGGGTCACCGAGCTTTCTGTGGGGCCAGCTCAATTTCCTCATGCCGTTAGAATGGGAGAACCCTCATTTCAGACCAGTGAAAATGGTCTGGGAATTCTGACACTCGTAACGCACTCGGAAAATCCACTGGACGCTGAAACCCACACAGCGTCACTTGAGAGAGTAAGTGACAGCCTGTGGCAGGACCTTCCAGTGGTGGCTTCAGGCCCCCACAGGGCAGAGTGCCCGGCCCTCACCTTGGGGAGGAAGCTGGGTCCTGTCCTTTGAGCGGGCTTGTCGCCCTGCCCTCAGGTCCTGCTTTCATCTCACAGCCCTGCTCAGACCTGCCCAGTCCTGGGCCTTGCTAAACCAGCAGGTGGGTTTCCTCCTGGCCTGAGTTTGAAATCCACATTCGTGTGTGCGGCGGCCTAACCCAGCCCAGATGCTGACAGTGGTGCACAGATACCTGATTTGATCTTGATGAGTACGTTTGGGCAGCACCCCTCCCCGATCAGGAGCCAGGAGACGAGGATCTGCGAAACCTGCCAACAGTGAATAGGGCCCTTGTTGGCAGGCTTGCGGGGTTACCGCCATGAGCTCCAGAAGTGGAGGGTGAGACCCGTTCCCAGCCCAGACTCGGATGTCGGAGAGCTGAGTTCTGGAATCCAGCCTCAACAGCAACTCCCTAGCCCTGTCTCTGTGCTGAGTATCTGAGCCTGGTGCTCTGGGGAGTGCTGGCCAGCGGCTAGTGGTCGGTGCTGCCCGGGTGTTTGGGGTTTGGCCCCAGGTAGTGGGCAGTCGGTGCTGCGCCAGGGGTCGGCCCCAGGTAGTCAGTGCTGCCCCGGTGTTCGGGGGCTCGGCCCCAGGTAGTCGGCGGTCGGCGCTGCCCGGGTGTTCGGGGGCTCGGCCCCAGGTAGTCGGCAGTCGGTGCTGCCCGAGTGTTCGGGGGTCGGCCTCAGGTAGTTGGTGGTCGGTGCTGCCCGGGTGTTCGGGGAGTTGGCCTCAGGTAGTTGGTGCTGCCCAGGTGTTCGGGGAGTTGGCCTCAGGTAGTCGGCCATTGGTGCTGCACCAGGTCACTTGGGGTCGGCCACAGGTAGTCAGTGGTGGTGCTGCCCGGGTCGCTCGGGGTCACCCTGCACATCAGAGCCCTCTGCCATTTGCCACCTGCTCGCTGGCAGCGAGGTGGGTGTGAGACGGCAGTGTGTGTGTGTGTGGAGCTCGCCAGACCAAGTGCAGGTGTGATGTGGCACCACAGGGACAAGGCCAGCCACCGGCTTTCTGCAAAGGACCAAGAAGGGACTTTAAAGCTTCCGCTTAGACACTGAAGAAGACGGCGCCCCGGGCATACCTACCTGAACGGCCACACAGCTGTCCTGGAGAGGGGCCTGAGACAGCGTTGCAGGAAGAGAACCAGCCTCTTATCTCCAGGGGATGAGCCACCCACCGGGTCTAGTGTGGCCGTAATTGTTTTGCTCCCTATTTTCTTTACAGTAGAACTTAGGAAATTGATGAGCTTAGCATTCGAAATGACGATTCTGATTTAGGAGATGCGCTCGCATTGTCATTCTTCAGACACATGAGCAGAGGCCCGTGTCAGCGTCGCAGGTGGCCGTGGACAGGGAGTGGACAGGGAGGGGACCGCGGAGGAAACCCCTCCTCGGGGCAAGGCAGCGTCTCCCCTCGCTTTCTGCCTTCTTTGTCCCTCTCCCTCTCCGTCGTTGTCTCGCGCTCTGCACGATGCTTAGAGAATTTACGCTGTGAGGTCACAGTCACGTGCTTTGTCTCAGTGAAGCCTCTGTGCATGTGGGGACTTGGCGTGTGCAGTATAAATCCCGGATGTGACGTGCCCACTTGAAGCCCGCCTGCGTGGGCTGCGTTCACGTGCTGCCTTTTCGTCTCGTTCCCTTTCCCCAGCTCAGAGTTGTCATTCAGACCTCAGTACTACGGGGAAAACATGCCACATCTCTGAGTCAAGCTTCGCTAGTTCTTAAAAAGGGCTTTTGACTTCTGTGTCACACATGATGAATGGGTGGAAGCTAGGTGGAGGGTGTGTTTAAACTTTCACACGGTGGTAGGTACCATAACTCAGGGCTCTGGGGAAAGCCCGCCAACGCCACGCTGTGGCTAAGTAAACACCTTAAAGGGAGCGCAGACGGGCGCATTTTCTAGTTTCATGACATGGTGCGTTTAAGCTATTCAGGGTACGTGCGTGTCCTTTGAAGCTAAGCCTCACTCACATTCTAAAGAAGCACAAATCTTAAATCAACATCCACCGCTTTGGCAATTGGCATTTGTGTCATGCACAGTTTTAAGTTTTTTTCTGCCCTGCCCAGAGAGTGGCTTAGAGAAGATTCGGCTCATCTCCCACGCAGTTTAAAACAGGAGTGGGGAAGGCATGCACGCAGTCCCGGCCAAGTGCACAGGAAGGGGGCGTCAGCCGCCGTCTGGGAGCTGGTCTTCGCAGGGCTGCAGAGCAGGGCTCGGCTGTGCTGCAACATGGCATAGCTATGTTTCACAGGGGGTCCCGGCCAAGTGCGCAGGAAGAGGGCGTCAGCCGCCATCCGGGAGCTGGTCTTCGCAGGGCTTGGCTGTGCTGCAACATGGCATAGCTATGTTTCACAGGGGGTGGGTTGAAACATGGAGTGGCTATGTCTCACAGGGGGTCCCGGCCAAGTGCGCAGGAGGGGGGCGTCAGCCGCTGTCCGGGAGCTGGTCTTTGCAGGGCTCGGCTGTGCTGCAACATGGCATAGCTATGTTTCACAGGGTGATTTTCAGATGCAAAGCACATCTTAAATACTCAAAGCTTGCAGTGATTTCCTGTTGCCCTGATAAAGTAGGTTTGCTGAACACGGCGTGGAGAGGGACCCAGCGAGTCAGCCCGTGTCGGCGTCTCTCTCTACTCACCCCAGGTCTGGTTAATCATGTAGATCACACATGTGTAGTTTAGAATTATGTATGTGTAATTTTATGATATATTTTTTAAATGCTTAAACTGGTTCCCTTTGACAGATTAAAAACTCCATCTTGTGTCAGCACAACAAACCCGAGGAAACAAGCATGTGATTCTCATTACCTTGTCATGTAAAACTGTTTAAAGCACTGGCATGTAATGGTGCCAATCGAGTAGGATTGTGATTATTGCTATTTGAAGCGGTCTTTATTTTTGCTTTTTTGTTCCCCCAGGGTTTTTGCCATTGGGTGCATGCACTTACCAGAGAGACACCAGGTTGTTGGGGGGGGGGAGTGCGAAACATTCCGGGGGAAGGCCACCTAGCAGTCCCTTCTCTGTTCTGCTCTTGAGATTTTGGGCATGCATGCATGTGTGCCCAGCGTGATTTTTAAGCCACTATTTCCAGGGATTTGAACCATGGCAGGCCATGTGGGAGTCCAGTGCTTAAACTGCCAGGCCACCTGCTGGCCCCCAAAGCTGTCTTTTTTAAAAAAAGAATCTTTTATTTATTTAATTCCATTTGTTGTTATTATTTCTTTAAAATTTGACTGAAAAGAGACAGAGAAATAAAGTGAAAGGGAGAAAAGAAGTCTCCAGATCCGGGACTTGAATCGTGGTTGGCCATGTGGCAGACCAGTGCCACAACTATCATGCCACCTGCTGGCCCCCAAAGCTGTCTTTAATTAGAAAATATAACTTCACTTTTAGAAAATACTTTGAAGGACTATCTTATCTGAAACTTTCCAGTTTTATTTGGAATTAATTTATTTTAATTTTTCTAATAAAATATTATAAATTAGTATTGTATTAGAGATATTTGTCTTCATATTAACTATCCACCATCCTGCGTTAGGGATAAATTGCTCTTGAGCGTGGAGTGTTGGCTGGCCGTGGTCTCCCGAGGCGATGTGGTTTTGTTGTTGGAAACAATGGTTCTTTGAGGTTGTACTGCGATGGCCTTGTGAAGAGGTGTCTGTTTGGTCTTCACAAGTGGGGATTCTTTGCAGGAATAAAGCACAGCATAGTTACCCACACACTGAGAGCGGGGACAGGGCTGCCAAGAGGGCGGCTCTTCCCGACCCGGGAGGAGGCAGGTGTGCCGTGGGCCGGCTAGTCTGTGTCAGAGGGAGCTGCTTGGTCCGATGTGGCAGGTGCTTGGTTGGTCCGTGTCCAGAGGGAGCCCCTCATCCCTGTGACAGTTCTTGGTTGGTCCGTGTCCAGAGGGAGCCCCTTGGTCCCCTGTGACGGTTCTCAGTTGGTCCGCGTCCAGAGGGAGCCCCTCGGTCCCCTGTGACGGTTCTCAGTTGGTCCGCGTCCAGAGGGAGCCCCTCGGTCCCCTGTGACGGTTCTCAGTTGGTCCGCATCCAGAGGGAGCCCCTCATCCCCTGTGACAGTTCTCGGTTGGTCCGCGTCCAGAGGGAGCCCCTCCGTCCTGTCCTGGCTGTTTCTCACTCCTAATGGTCTCCGCTGCCTTCGAAGTACATTTTCTTCAATCTCTTTTTATATTTTATGACTCTTGTTACCAAAAAGACTGTGAAGTTCGTTGACGGGTTTCAGTTCTCAGCTTCTGTTCATCCTATGAGACGATGATTCTTTTTAAAAGTGTGTTTACTTTTTAATCAAAACATTCACCCTTTTACATTTTTTTCTCTCTCTCTCCTTTTGTAGTTTGTTTTGTTTTGTTTTTATTTTTTTGTTAGAAGGCATGCGTGGTCATTGGAGGGAGGGGTGAAGGTGAGAATTGCTCCTGGGCATGGCCATGCCACAGCCCCTTCTCCTTCAGCCGGCTCTGGGACATGAACCACCAGTTGGCCACATGGTATCCAGCCGCCTTAGCACAGGGCACTGGCTGGAACTTCTTGTCCCGCCCCTCCTGGTGTTAGCAGGTGAGGCCTCGCGAGCCAAGACTAAGCTCTGCCCCTCTGGGAGGGTGGGCTCGGGCCACAGCCAGGAGGGGGTGCAGGGTGGCCGTCAGAGACCTGCGAGTGCCTGACTGATGAGCGTGGCGGCCTGTCTCTGCGCAGCAGTGGACCTGAACCTGCTCCGGGAGGAGGTGCAGCAGTACAGCTGCACGCCCCGCAACCTCTCCGTGTCTCTGCGCGAGGAGCTGCGGAGGACCGACGCTGTCTTCTGGCCCGGCTGTCTCCTGGTCAAACGCTGCGGCGGCAACTGTGCCTGCTGTCCCCACAGCTGCGACTGCCACTGCGTCCCCAGCAGAGTCACCAAGAAGTACCACGAGGTGGGTCAGCGTCCCCGCGTCCCACGCCCATGTCTGCCCTGAAGAGTGGCTCTGAGTGTCTGTCTGGGGGAGGCAGCATCCCTGGGGAACTGCAGGCTCTCAAGTTGCTCTCATTTTTTTGAGCGAGTTTTTTCCTATAGGGCATGTACGCTCGCCGGAGAGACAGAGAGAGAAAGCGAGAAATCGCCCCCTCCCCGGGGATGGCCACGCCACAGTCCCTTCTGCATTGTCCTCTTGGAGTCTGGGCACACGCATACATGCCACGAACAACCGTGCTCAACTGTGTGGGACCCCAATGACCATCCAGACTGAGAACGGGCAGCTGGGCCCTGGGGCTGCCTTGGGTGACCCTGGACCGGAGGGATGTGTTCTGAGGGAGAAAGCCATAGAGCTCTGAGAATGCAGAGGGCCCAGGGACAAGGCCTCGTCCCCATCACAGGTGGGCGCACCCTGAGACACCCCAGCCCCTCTGACCTGCACTGTCCGTGGGGCCCTGTATCACGCTAGACTCTGCATGGACTCTTCGCTCGTTTCTCTTTTGAATCTTGATATTAAGGAAAACACAACGCTGGATATCAGTCATCACTGTTTTCTTTATCATTGCCAGAGGACACGTGTGCTTATGGAGACCTGCAATCCCTCTACTTTCCGAGTCTATTTAGGGCCAGTAGGTGGCGTGGTGGTCAAGGCGCTGGACTCCCACATGGCCAACTGCAGTTCGAGTCCTGGACCTAGTGGCTTTCTCACCTTCCCTTTCTCTCTCTGCTGAGTGCACGTGGCCATTAGCAAACTAAAAATTAATAATATTAAATAAATAATTGTTTCAAACAGATCTGTTATTGGGCCAGAGAGTAGTGTGGTAAAGGCATTGGACTCCCACGTGGCCAACCACGTTTGAGCCCCTGAGCCAGTGGCTTGAAAACAGCACCACCCTGCACGCAGTCCATTTCTACACAGCTGTGTTGTTCACACACAGAAGGTCGCGTGCATGTGTGCCCCAAACCCCGAGAGAATGGAGGAGAGGCATTATGGAGTGGTGACCCTCCTCAAGGGTGGTTTCTCACTTTCTCTCTCGTTGTCTCTCTCCTCTTTGGTGAGCACACACACTCTGTGACAAAAATCCTTAAAAAGAAAAGTCTACTTTGGGAATAGTCACTTCAAGACTGGGGTGTATCTCTGGGAAGAAAGTCACCAAGTCTTCCTGAGAGCACAGCCTGCCACTCTCACGTCAGTGACTCACTCACCCTGGGTACCTGTCATGTCTGTGTTCACTCATGTGTGTCATGGGATGGTTGTAATTACCTGATGGAACTCGGGTGAGCTGAGGTGTGTAAGCACACCATTACTGTGCCTGGCATCCTGGAAGCATGAAGGAGCTTACCAGCTAAGCACTCACAGCCATGCCCTCCAGGGAGGCGTGGGCTCCGTCTTTGCACACCTTCGGCCAGAGCTGTCACAGGGTGGTTGATGAGGTTCCCCAGGACCCACTCCGTGAGGGTACCCTGCGGTCCCCAGGAAGTGGAGACGGGAGACGGTGTCCTGTCCTCCTGTGCACTGGTCTTTGTCTCTAACCTAAACAAACACGGTTTCTGAAGCGCCACCCGTCTCGTCCGGGGAAGGAGAGGGAGTGCACCCTGGCAGCGGGCCGTGAGGACACCTGCGTGTGCCACCCCCCGTGGCATCCAAGCAGGCGTGTTCAGCCGCGATGTCTGCTTACGTCTCTGTTGACAGCCTCAGCCATCAGAGGCCTGGCTGCTAGGGTGGCCGACTCATCAGGCTCCAGGACCCGGCTGGGGTCCGAGTTTCAGGAGGCGTCTCCCGGCCATCAGATGGGAGGGCTCGAAGTGTGGCCGGGAAGGCTGCCGTTTGGCGTAACTGAGCCGGCACAGCTGCGGGCCACCACGCTGCTCAGTGCGAGCCTTGTGTCACTTCCTGTGCGAGCACTTGGTAGGCGTGCCTGTGTGCGTGAGGGGTGGGCGTCTGCTCCAGCAGCTGCAGGGCAGCCCTCTCGGGGCA